TGCCTGATGAAGGTCAGTGGACCGAAACTTTGCTTGTGCTTTTAAGAATAAATTGCTATATTTATCCAGTACTGATAGTGTGCGGGATTGCATCTTTTTATATTTTGGATTCAACAGTGTTGTTGGACTATTTTTCCTACGCACCTATAATTTTTTCAGGTGTGCTGAGTTTGTGTTGATTGAAAACTAATAATTAGAAAAGCAGTGCACCTCATTCATGGAAAGTTTCAGGGACGTATAATTTATAAAATTACATCAAATTGATCAAAAGTTTGTAATACAATTGTCTACTTTCCGCTGTTATACCAGGGTTAATTTTTTAACAAGTTAATAAAGATTTACTGTTTTTACTTTTGTTGCAGGGTTGATTGAAGATAATGAGGAGAAAGAAGAATTGCGTGAAGTTGAGGAGAAAAATCATGTCAAAAGTGGAGAAAAACCCAAACAGAAAGATTTAAATAAAAAAAGAGCCAAGAAATATTTCACCTGCACTCAGTGTGGAAAGAGTTTCACATACAAACATACCCTTGATGTTCACATGAGAGTTCATACTGGAGAGAAACCATTCACTTGTGATCAGTGCGGGAAGAGTTTCAAGCAATCATCACACCTTTATGCTCACATGAGGATCCACACAAGAGATATGATGTACCCTTGTGATCAATGCGGCAAAACGTTTCTTTGGGCATCAGCTCTGAAAACTCACCTGGCAGTTCATACGAAGGAGAAGCCGCATTCATGTTCTGAATGTGGAAAGAGTTTTTCACTGCTGCGGAGTTTACAGAAACATGAGAAAATGCATGCTGATGTGAGAGAGTACATGTGCTTTGAGTGTGAAAAGACTTTTACTTCAGCTGCACGTTTGAAACTACATGAGAGGATCCACACTGGAGAAAAACCTTACACGTGTTCACACTGTGACGAGAGATTCAGTCAGGTATCACATCTGAAAATACATGAGAGGATCCACACTGGAGAGAAACCGTACAAGTGTTCACACTGTGACAAGAGATTCAGACGGTCAGAACACCTAAAAATACATGAGAGGATTCACACTGGAGGAAAATTTTATATGTGACGCTGGACCACAAAACCAGTCATAAAGGTCAATTAAAAAAAAAAATGTAGATGTATCCATCATCTTAAAGCTGAATAAATAAGCTTTCCATTAATATATATGGAAAATGGATATTGTTACGATAGGATAATATTTGGCCAAAATACAGCTATTTGAGAATCTGGAATCTTAATATAATATATATAGTATATATATTAGGCAGCAAGTGAACATTTTGTCCTCAAAGTTGATGTGTTCGAAGCAGGAAAAAAAATCAAAGCGTAGCATTAGTTCTGGCAGGTCACGTTAGTCAAGCTCGCATCAGCTGACTCTCAGCTGATCCACGTCTACCT